TGTCACAAAGCCTTCACCATAAGGTACCACAGAGTTCATCCTCCAACATAGAAAAAATCAACCCAATCCTTGGGTTGTAAGGGACCTTCAGAAATCCATCCCATCCTGCATCACAGGATGGACATGGACATTTTTCACAAGATCAGATTGCTCAAAGCCCTGTGAAATGACATTGAACAGTTCCAACGATGGGGCATCCACAGTTTCTTTGGGCAACATGTTCCAGGGTCTCACCACTCTCACAAAACAAATTCTTCCTTATATTTACCTTCTTTCACACTGGTCCCACTGATCACCAAATCTTGTTATTGCAGACAGGACAAATCTTCTGAATGCTCAGATAGTTGAGAGTTTGAGTGGTGTTGTTACACACCTCTACTTTCTCTGTCTGTGATACTTTGCTCTAACATGAACAATGACATGTCATTCAGATCCAAAAGTAGATCAAATTTGATTAACAAATTCAAGCCCCAGTACTGCAGAAACCCTGAAGTTCTTCAATCTCCTAGCATCTCACAGGTTGCCCTCAGGACCCAGGGGAGATTAGGAAGCCAAGCACTTTGCTGAGCTAGAACCCAGCAGCCATCCCATTAAGCTCACTGCTTTTCTTTCAGGGAGGGCAGTAAATGATAGACACAGAGTGATTCAGCACTGCCTCACATCTTGCTAAGGGGAGGCTGACTAACATGTATTTTATATACCTTCTTGAATTTGTCCACAAGTCAAAGCCACCTCAATAGTGCTTTGGTGGATTTTGGTGTGTTGGTGTTGGGTTTTTCGCCCCCCCCCCCCCCCTTTTTTTTTTTTTTTGGTGGGGGGGTGGTCTAAAGGACTGTGCTAATTAGGTCTGACATTTTAAAATTTTTGGATCAATACAGGGCATATCATTCTTCTATGCTATGAGCTGCAGATTTTCAAGTCTCCCCTCTGGACTAATACAATTTATACAAATTAGGTATGACCCCTGGACTTTGTGGTACTGCCAGCATGTCCTGGGAGCATAAAAGCATATCCTAAAGATCACCAAGTACAGAGCCCTCTGAATTTTCTATAATTCCTCCAGGACAAAACCTTCTTTAAATACTGTTTGTTCCAGTCATTTCAGTACCACTGTTTGCTTTCTTATCTGTTGACATGGAAGCTTAGCTTCCTCAGAACATTTTTGTCTGAAAGATCATTATTTTCTTTTCCAAGCATCCCATGAACAGACCAATTGTACTTCATCAATTTTAAATTTTGACTGCCTGCCAACTGCTTTCAAATCTAAAGCCAATCAAAATTTAAGGGGATTCAGAAAACACAGAAAGAGGAGTATATCCACTTCAAAAAGGTTACCCAACTGTTTGTTGTTGTTGTTACATTTTGTCTCAGGCTTTATAATGATGGCTTTCAGCATTTTGGCTCTGTTTATGTGTCCTTGTTTAAAAGTCAGGGCTGTGCCTGCCCTTCCCAAGGCTGCAGACACACAGTGGGCTGCTGTGCAGTTCATCATTCAAGCCTCTGCTGACTCCAGAGTCCAGTCTGACAAATTGCCAAGAAAGATGCCTTCTGCATTTACTTGGAGGGACTTCACTTTCACAGCTGCTCTTTACCAGAAATAATGTATCTTGGAATCATCATCTAATGTTGGTGGGTTTTTATGGGCATCAAATTTTGCTTAACAGACTACAGATAAGCCTCATATAATTATATCTGTTGGTTACAGATACAATTATAAGTAAGACTCTAACCTAGCTGTATGTCAGGGAAATAACAATACTGTCACAAATAACAATACCTAGAATAACTAAGACCCAATGCTACTTATCTTCTCAGATATGAAATGATTCATGCTGTAACACCTCTGACATGAGCATGACCCCAGAAAGATGAGTTTGCTGAAAGTTGTCTCCTAAAAATTGGAAAATTATACCGATAGCATATGAAACTGTGTAAAAAGTCAGGATTTTTACTGACCACAGGGTCTATATCTTCTGAAGCCATCACCTTCAGGAGTAGGCCTGCCACCCTTCATGGTCATTGGAAAACTTTCTACCAGTAGGCAGCAGGGGCAGATGGCTTCCTGCTTTATGGTGACACCTTGATTGCTGTTCTACCAGATTGGCATCCTACAGAGAATTTGAAAAATTGGTGCTTGCCTGCGATGACCTGTGGTCATTTTTCATTATCCAAATTAAGACAAAAACATAGCTTATGGACAGTTTTTTGTGTTTTCAAAACCGCTGGTCTTTGTAATTTTGATTGCTTTGATATATACCAAGAATTTCAATGCTATTTACCTGAAACTGAAAACTTTAGAAAAACACTGAGTTTTGAATGTTGGAAGAGTTACTTTCCTCTTCCTGTCATTGTTAGTAATGCTTTGGAAGATATTTTGTCTGTGACAGAACAACAAAGAGTAAAAGTTATCGCAACTCAAGTAAATATGACAAGCTTTTTCCACATTCTTCATGTATAATAAAGGAGTATGAGAACAGACAGAAGTGTAACATCACTGGAGGTTTACTTATGAATAGTACAGAAAATGAATGCTACAGTAGTCAAAGGCGACAACACATGCTTATGGAGTTTCTTTTTGGGGCCCTAGAAAATAAAAAGTAACCAAAGCAAATGCGTTCATCCTGTGCCCCATGTATTTGGGTAGTGGCAAGGCAAAAGGAGGGCTAGGAGACAGTCTCAGATGTGGTAAATCAGGTTTTGTATGCAGGAGGCAGGCATGTATGCTGAAAGAGTGGAATTGAAGTAGAAAATTACTTTTCAGAAATTGGCTTAAGCTGTGAGACTGTATCTTGGGGAGGAAAGAAGAACCACAACCCACTGCTCTTCTTCTGCCAAACTTGAAATGAGAAATGTTGCCCAGGGGCCAGTGTCTTGAGGAGAGTTTCTGGGCTGTGAAACTCAGCCTCAGAGAGCAGAGATTAACTCAAGCTGTAAGGAAGAGTCTGTGTCTCAGAGATGGCTGAATTACAGCCATATTTCTCTCTCTCTGGTGTTCCCAGGGTGTTGAGTTCAGCTTCTCTCCAGTCAGTCTGCTCAAAGTTGCAAGTCCCATTCAGGTATTCCTACTTCTCTCTTTACAATATATTACATTATTTTCTTCTGGGACTATGGTGTTTAACTCAGGAGTTTAACTCTGGAAAACATAAGCTGAAAGTTGAGAGTGACAATGAAGAATATAAGTTTTGTGGTTCAGGCTATAAGCTGATGTAGATCTGCTGTGACTGTAGACAATTCATTTTCCTAAGAAATAAGTCTAACTCTTTTAATGCATCCTTAGTGTTGAAAAGAGAAATTCTGGAAAAGTATAAAATATCTAGGAAAGTGAAGGACACATTATTTTAGTTATAGGTTAATTTTTAGTATAATAAAAAATTGGAATGACTGTGAAGTACCTACAAAGTAAGTATTCTTGTTTTTAAGCTGATAGTTTGTAGGATGCCATTTTGAAGTGCTGAGTTGTAAAGTGCTTAAAATAGTGATTTATAGAAATCTAAGCAACACCCAGAAGGAGAGTTTTTTTCCCCTAGAATTAGTGGACTTTGTTTGGTGGTAAAGAAAGCTTCTTTCTCTTCAAGAAGCTTTGCGTAATGTGAACAGATTCTGTATAGATGAGGCAGAATGCTGGAGGAGCAGAAAAGTTTGGTTTGTTTTCTTCGGAAGTCAGCTTTAGCTTTCTTCCAAAAGAAAACCACCAGCTTGTATGGGCTCTTGTTTGCTTACTTCAGTGCTGGGTTTCTATACTCTTGTCCTCCTGGGAGATTTCTTGTTCACTTCCTTACTCCTGTCTCTCAGAATTTTGGTATCAGCCTCAAATGCTGTAACGTGGTTTAGATAAAAGAGCAGTGAAGCACCAATTGGAGAAAAAAAATCACATATAATTTTGAGGTGTGCAGTGCAGGGTTCTTGTCCAACTGCATGGCCTAGCTAACCAATAAGATATAAAGTATGGCTTTTAATTTTTGAGTGCAGGGCTGCTTTAATTCAGTATATCTTTGTTAAATGATGTTTTGCATATGTACCCTCTAAAGGGTGTATTATAAACATATTAACTGTATGGGACACCTCAGCCCTGTTTTATGTTTGTGGAAGGTACAAAAAGTAACTTTACATCTGGTTTAGGCAGTTGAGAGTACAGCATATCTGATGGGGACGTGTGACAGGACAAGCTCTCTGTACTCACACATCACAAAAAAAGTGTGAAAACTACCCCTACAATCTTAATTAAAGCTAAGGTTTGCTAGCCTGCATGGACCACCAGCATCATCTAAAGAAGAAAAAAGAAACAAATGTTTAAGTCATTGAGCATCCCACCCACGCTCTGCCATTAGTTCCACTCAGCCTGCGCTAACACTGCGGTTGTGCAGCAGCAGCGTGCTCCGGCCATCTGGCTAACCCCAGAGACACATGTGGGCAGCTTATCTGCAGAGATCAATGCCAGCTTGTAGCCACAGCACTAACAGCTGTATCAAGCCAGAGAATGGAATATAGATCTCCCAAGTTCCTCTTCTTCCATAAAAGACCAAATGACCTGGGCTTGACAGTGTTAAGTGAAGACTCTTGGTCAGCTTTGCCTATACATTCCCTGTTTCTTTGTAAAATGTGTATACAGCTGATTATAGTTAAAGAGCATCAACTATGGTGTGGATCTGCAGTATACATTAGCAAGTTAATATTTTTAACTTGTCTAGTGGAAGTGAGGAATACTCTATAGAAATAAAAAACTGGGAAAATTACCAATCCCAATTCACATCACCTTAAGCATTCTATTCTTAGGAAATACTACTGCAAGCTGCTTGAAACTCATTATGGAGTTGTCTTGCAAGTGTACTTTTAAACTATTTTATAAAAAATTTAGGACAGTGGGACAGAGTATTTGTATTTCAAATACCATGTAGCCCATCCAGCAATGAGAAGTGTTACATTGCTTCCTGCTTACCTGTTGTGAAACTAATGTGTACCAGAAAGGATAAAGTTCTCTGAGCATCTGAATTCCCACAAGAAACTGACCTGCTGGCAACATTCTTCCTGAAGCACCCCAGCATGCCACAATTCTCCTCATGAAAATGCAGGGTATGCTGAATGCATAGCTACCAGTCACAGAGACTAAGGATCACTAAGGAATAGTCATATTTGAAACAAAAGTAAAAATGCTTCTCACTTTTTAAAGGGGAATCCCATTTACCTGCATGTGTGTGGCTGCAGTATCATATGAACGAATTCTGAATAGCTCACAGTGGTTTTACAACCACCTGGTCAGCCTGCCTACAGAACACTATACTTGTAAATATACGTGTTCTCTCTACAAATGGTATTTCCAGGGACAAACTTAGAAATATATCATTATACAGGCAAGATCAGTCCCTGCAAATAACCACGAAAAACAAGATGAACATAGATAATTCTTTTATAAGTGATTCTTTTCATCTTAACCCCTTCCTTTTTTTCAAAGCTCCATTTTTAGCCATACACATGGCAACTAGAGATATACGATCGTGTGCTAGGAAGATAAAGAGCAGGTAGAAAAAATTCCTGTGATCTTTTTTTTCCTCCCTCCATATGCAGGGTGCCCTGGAAGAAGCAGATGAAATAAACAAAGTACACAGATCCACCTCCAGATTGTCTTCCCTCAGTCATGACTACCACCAGACTCTTACTGATGTTTCCTAAAGAAACCCTGATTAACCCACACATCCACATTCAGCATGTCTACTCAGACAACACACTTTTCTTTTTAATTGAGGCTATACTCTCCCCCACACCATCAGTAACTAACCACAAGGCCCTTCAGACAGCTTGTCCCACTGCACATTAACAGGCTGTTAACCCTACACTTTCCCCAAGCATCACTTGTTCCTCCACCACTCCCAACCCACTTCATTATATAAGACCCTCCCTCTCCTTGTTTGCTTTGTAAAGATCAGGGACTGAACCCAGCTGCTTCTTGTTTCTGAGGTAATTGCCAGCATTTCCACAGCTGCTTCAGGGATGGGTTGAGGTTTTAAGTGGCTGGGGTGGTTTTTGTTTTTCCCTTGTGCTTAGTTTCTGACCTTGTACACTGGTATCTGCTGGCAAAGAGATGAGCACCTCACTGATGATGTAAAAGTGCCTTGGTCCTAAGCGAGATTTTTCACAAAGCAGGAAAGGATTCATCACATCTGCAGAAGAAAAGGTACAGGTTAAGGTTTTATTGTGAGGTGTATATGCTGACTTGTAATTAGACACACATGCCATGTTTCTTCAGCAGGTTAACTTGCAAATGTTTCAGCAGGCTTTTGGTCACCATCTGGAAACAGAGGAAGCAATCAAACCTTACCTGAATAACATTGGGGAAATTGCTCCCTGATTATCAACGCATACTGTGTGGGTTAAGTTGCATAAAATACACTAAATTACATCAAAACTGCAAAGCCAAGCAATCCAAAGATTGACTTAAAATTGCATAATAGGGCTTCTAAGTGCATACTTGTTCTGGTGGTCTCTAGTGATTTATTGTTACATACTGTTTATTTTTTCTTCATCCTTGCTCAGAACATGCTAAAAAATACTTTAGTCTGTTTAGCATAAAATCTTGTTTTATGTCAGAACTTTAGAGACAAAATCTGGTGTTCCCAGAAATATTCAGTACCTTCAACTGTACGACTGTCTTTGCTCTTGCACTTTTCTTGCTTTTAAGAGCTGCTTTACCATGGGACTCTGTGGTACTGCTAGAAAGTGCATCCCATGCACTAGAGGAAGGGCAGGGTCCTGTGGATTAAAAATAACAACTGCAAAAATAGATTGACTGCAGCAGGAAGATGAAAGCTTCTAAATGATTCTGTATTAGAAATGGCTTGTGCTCCGCTGATGTAGGATATGAGCAGATCTGATGTATGCCTCTGCATCCTTGCTCAGCAGACATCTTGGCTGGGACAAGGGATACTGCTGGCCAGGCTGTGTGAAAAAGCCTTGTTTACTCAGACTGCATGTACTTCTGCAGCTGCTGGTTTTGTCTGTTTAGCTTTGGAAAAATAAAGGTAAGTTAACCTTCATCTGCAGGGACAGGAAAGACCTTCCCTGAGTCTTTCATTCTTGAAGTCTACATGCCAGGGATGTCACAGCGTAAGAGCCACAGTCAGACAAAACTTTTGTCAAGTTTTTGCACACTTGACAAAACTACAAGAGTGCCCAGTCAAAAAAAAGCAGGGCGTGTTTGATTGTTGGTGTTAACTGTAAGGGAAGCATGCCCTGAGAAATGGTTTGAGGTTGAATACTAAAATAAACAGTTACCATGGATGGTTATGGGGAAAATTGGTAGGCCATTCTCATCACAAATGCAAAGGCTCAGAGGAAGTCAGAAAAGTGCATTGAAGACCTGCTTTCCCCCTTTTGTGTGTCAGCTGAAAGTGTTTTATATACTCAGTTCTTGTGGTACTGACAGGATGAACATGGGCATGAGTTTAAATATCACAACAGGATCATCTGCCTGCTGATTCTACCAGTCTGAGAAGTAAACCCTGATAGAGAAGTACAGTGAGTTTAGTGACAAATTCTGGTAAGAGAAGGCGGAGGTTTTTTTCCATCTTTTAAAATAACTAAGTCTTTTGCCTTGTGATCTCTTTTCCCCCTCTTAACAGTTTGGTGTATTGGTTTGTCTGCTTTGGACAACAGAAGGGTAAAATGCATGTTTGTAAATGTAATTTCTCTTAAACACTTCTATTGACTTTAGATTATTATTAGTTTTCTATGTGTGGACTTCTACGACCTTAGGAATTTTTTCTGCACATCCTTTACTTCTCAGTGGCTTGTGACTGTGCAATTTTGTTGTCTTTTCACTATAGAACACTAAATTGATATTGAACTCCTCGTATTTGTTGCACTGACTCATTGGTACATTTTTGTACTGGAAGGTTTTCCAGGAACCATGCTTGTGTCAGCTTAAGCACTTCTGGAAATGAGATCAATTGCCTGATTTTTTCATTGATCCAGAAATGGTCTAACTAGCATTGTGGGCTGGTGCCTTACCCTCTATTATTTGAGGAAAAAAGAACTTTATGTACTGTCTGGTTAGAGGATGACATCTTTTCAACTTTCACATCTCTCATGGGTTTTTTCCCCTGTGGTAGCTGGGAACATTATCTAGTAGTGTCTTAGTCACTGTCTGTGAGCTTGCTGCTTTAGGATACTTTAACAGACAAAGGAAAAGGAATTTAACAGTGGGTGAATGGGTGTGCTCTATGAAGTAAATCTATGAAAAATTACTTTCAATTCTAGGTAATTTAAACAAAACTTGGTAATTTATGTGTATAATTTGGTGGAAAAAATTGTAATTTCATTTTATAGATATGTAAGCAATCTAGGTCACAGCATAATTTAGTGCTCAAGTTTCCCTTCTATTTGATTATTTTTAAAGACTCCAGCTACTTTCAGGTCTTAAAAGTTACTTTTCAAACAGTGCTTCAACAGTCTAGTTTTATACAGTTTGAAACTTTAGCTAATGAGTGTCAATACTGGGAAAAAAGTATTGATTATGTATTAGTCTTATAAGCACAGGAGTAAAGTACATTCATAGGGATATCTGGTGCAACTTGTCACCTAGTGTCCATGCATCTGTGTGAATCACTCTGCTTGAAGTAAAAGGCGTTCTTTCTCTAGACATATGCAAATTCACCACTGGGGAGAAAAGGGAATTAAACTCCAATCCCAAAACATCAGTAGATGTACTCTCAAGCACAGTGTACATCTGTCTACTGAGTAATTTTTAGGTAAATGCCTACTTGGGAATAGTGCAGAAAAAGGCCTTTCAAAAAAAAACCCCTATGAACTGTGTAAATTTACTCAGCCTCTCCTATTTTTGAAATAAATTGCTTCCATGTGTGTTCTGCCATTTCTAGGTGGACCTCCTGAAGCTATTCCAGTGTAATTCACTTCCAACTTATATAATAGAGTAAAAATATCTCATCTGCTAGTATATGTCCAAACTGACCCAGAATTGCACATTCAGGACCACTTTATAAGGAAAACTTGGTTGAGCAAAGAGAAACAGATGTTTCCTGCCTAGTAGCATGAAGTGCGTTAGTGTGTTGGACGGACATCCAGGATTGCAGTTGCTATGATATTCTCTCCGAGCAGCTTCAGGACTGAAGATTTTGATTTTCAGCAGCTTTAGGAGGGGGCCAGCATCCACCGTAGGTGCAATTTTCAAAGCAGAATGTGAGAGGGGAGGCAAGGATTACTAGGTGAGGAATCAGCAGCAAGTGACTGGGTACATGGAGGTTTTGGTCTCAGTGTCAGTCCCTCGGGGTGCCACCTCACCACACTGGTGTGGGCTCTTGGGTGGCACTGTAGCTTCAAGCACAGTGCTCAGGACTAAGCCACCACTCGTGGCGGTTCATCAGATGCCAGTACCCAAGTGAAGTTACTGTAGGCTGCCTTGCATGTCTCTCCCTGACTGGAGGCATGCTGACAGTCCTCGAGAATCCAGACCAAGGCATTTTATGGCCACAGAAACAATAAAAGAAGATAAGGGTGTGGGGTGGAGGGGGAGACTGTCTATGTAAATAATGCAAAGGCCTCCTGTTTCTCCAAAACGCAAGGCAGCTGTGGCTTCTTCTGTGGCTACATGTTTTTCTTGTGGATAATGGCTCCCCTTTGTAGATTACTTTTCTCCCCCCTGAGGCCACTTTTGCTTCTTCTGGACTGCTGTTAATATCCCACTTTTCCAATTTCATTTTACAAGCTAGAATAAGTTTCTGTATACCAAGGTTCAAAGTTGTATGCATAGTTTAGGTTGAAATCAGGGTGAATACCCCCTGTGTATTCACTTGACAACATTTCAGACTATTCAGGGTTCCTCAGGCAATACAGGTAAAGTTCACGAGGCAACAAGACATGGAACCATGCATTTGTCCTGGAAAGTCAAAAGGCTTGTGTGGCATGCCTACTTTTATGACTATTTCTGTATTTTGTTACATGAATAATTTGAGAAAGGTGATCTTTTATTTACCATTGGATTTACTACTTAACAAAGAAGCCGGTGTAACTTTTTTTTTGTGTCACAGAGGGAGTTTTTACTCCAGATTATTTCTATGTCAGAATAGCGCAGAGGAGTGATGGGTTTAGAAGAGGTAAATCTTTGCTTCATCAGCACTCTGTATGCAAACAGAGTGACTGATGCAGTCTGGAGCTCTTTCCTGGAGGCATCTTGCATGAGGCTGGTTGCTGGAAATGGAAAAATGAGTAGAAAGATAGTGGGCAGATAAGCACCCTATAATCACTGTTTGAGCTGATTTCTGATGAGTTGCTGTCAATCTTCTTCTTCCACAAGGTTTCTAGAGAGACACTTTACAAAGTGAAACCAAGGGAGGGGGGCAGGGCAGGGCAGAAGTCACTGCCAAAACCCTACATGTGTGAGGGCTTTTATCTACTGAGTAATGGTGTGGCTCGTGGTTACCCTTTGAAAATGCTGACAAGGGAAACTGATACAGCGATTGTGTTACATGGACAACATCTGGAATAGTCACCTACATTGACTTTTTAGTATTATTTTGCTAGGAAAAAATATTGCTTATATAGAACATTGAGGCAATTATTATTTTTACTGATTTGTGGTCATTTCTGGTTTTAAAGAGCAGAGCAATAGGTACCTTGAGAAAGCTGTTTATTCTAACTATGTTACATTGAAACTAAGTTTGATTTAGGAATAAAACTAGGGATTTTTCTGTTTTATCTGTGAAGACTGGAGTGCATTTGCATTAGTCATGCTACTGCATAAAGGAAGAGGAAGCTGCAGTTGGGAGATTGCTTAGTGGAATTAAGGAACTGGGAAAGTTATTTTTAGACTCAAGTTTTCTGTTTTTTCAATA